AGGACAGAGCCCCACTGCACGCCCCCCAGGTGGGCTCAGCCCGGCTCCCGCCATGGTCCAGCCTTGCTCACCCTTCCCAGCAAGGGCTGCACGGAGCCCAGCTCCCGGGGCACCAGTGCGGGGCCTAGGATGTGGTTGTGTGTAAGGACGTTGTGTCCAGTTCTGGGCTTCCGAGTTCAAGAAAGATGAGGAGCTACTGGAGAGGGTCCAGTGGAGGGTAAATATCTGAAGGGTGGGTGTCAGGAGGATGGGGCCAAGCTCTTTTCAGTGGTGCCCAGGGACAGGACAAGGGGCAATGGGCACAAACTGAGGCACAGGAAGTTCCACCTGAACATGAGGAAGAACTTCTTCCCTCTGAGGGTGACAGAGCACTGGAACAGGCTGCCCAGGGAGGTTGTGGAGTCTCCTTCTCTGGAGATATTCAAGACCTGCCTGGACACGGTCCTGTGCAGCCTGCTCTGGGTGACCCTGCTTGGGCAGGGGGTTGGACTGGATGACCCACAGAGGTCCCTTGCAATCCCTGCCATGCTGTGATTCTGTGAAGTTGGCTGAGCAAAAAATTCAGGCTTTGACCTGAGAGAGAACAATGTTACAAGGAACATGCTGCTTCCCCTCTCTCATCACGCATGGCAATGAGTGCGAAGCGTTTCAGGTGTTTTCATCCTGGTAGCTGTAGATTGGGGGAAGGGGCTTGTCCGCAGGGATCAGCCCCGCTGCTGCCCCGGGGAAGCTGGATTTTCTGCTGCTGCAGCTGCATACGGGAGATTTTATATGAAACGACAATGGAAGCAAAAAGCAACTGCTTTATTTTTAATGAAGAGAGAGAGAAGACACCAGCCCTCCTCTAACGCCTCCTTTTGCTCAGAGCTTAGTCTCTGTTCCTTCAAATTACTGCGTGCCTCCAACACCAGGTTTTCCCTTCCGTGTGTGTTTATGTTTGCATTTAATACTGCTGCAAAGCACCGGTCTGGCTGCCCTGGGCTGCAGCCTCCCCAGGTCAGTGGAGGACACTGGAAGGAGCAGTTTCTTCTGGGTTTGACCTGAACCAAACGACAGTTTTGACCTTCCTCCAAACCACAGGACTGTGGACAGATTTCCAGCTTACTAACATGTAGAAAATAATTCTGAACACCTGAGATGCCAGCCGGGGTGTAATTGGCTCCTACCCATCACCTGCACCCCTCCCTCCCCATCCAGAACTACCACCCACACCTAAATTCTTACTCCTTGGGTGTATCTAGCAGGTGTCTCTTCATTTTTTGCAGCTGATCAGCTTTTCCTGCTCTCTTTAAAGGGCTGCAGGGAGGCAGCAGTAGTGGTGTGGTTGTTCTGAGAAGGTGGGGGTGTTTGTGGGTTAAATGAACTGCTGTAGGAAACAAAATTGTTCCCCTCTGAGTTTTAGGGAAGAGCCTTGGGATTCTGGTCTGCCAGGGCAGTCAACGGCAGGGTGGGCTGGTGTGAGGATGGGAAGTGCGGGGTATGAGGGGTCTCTGTGCTCGCTGGCTGTGGACTGCTTCCCATGCTTCAGGACACAGCCTCTGCTGGTAGATGTGCTCCCAGGTGCGTTTGCTTTGTTCTCTATTTTTGTGGGATTATTTTGTGCAGAATGCTGCAAGCTTTAGCCACCTGCTGCTTTTTTCCCAGCTCTGCATGTAGCTTTTCTCTAAAGTATGGAGGGTTGTTTGCCTGTGGGCTCCAGCTCACTCAGAGCCAGGGCTGTTTGGCTGGGGCTCCTGCTCTGGTTTGCAGTGTCCCTGGGATGTAGGGGAAAGGGTCCTAAAGAGAAAACTGGACAAGCCAGGAGCTCTGCAGAGGGCAGCTAAGAAAGCTTCCCCAAGTGAACAAGCCCTTTAAAGTCTCTCCTATACTCTTCCTGGACTTGCTGTGTGCTGTCCTGTCTCAGTGGGAATGGAAGTGGAGCTCAGTGCTGGCCTGGAGGTGTCTCTTAGATCTGTAGTAGGGGAAAGCTTGAACTCTTTTTGTCTTTTTTTTTCTCCAGTAAAAGCATGTGTTTGCAGGAGTCCTCCCCACCTCCTCCTGTGCCCCTCCTCTCAGCTGAAACTGGGGCATCTTCCCCCTTACGCTGCACGCAGTCCCTGTGCCAGCTGAAAGCTGCCTTAGGTGCCCCTGTCTCCACCCTGCCCCTTCAGACCCCGTGCTGCTTCCAAACCCCCACCTGCTGCCCCAGTGCCAGCCTGCCAGGTCTCTCTGCCTCTCCATGCTGGCAGCTCGCCTTTTCCGGAGCGGGAGAGGACGAGGCACTTGCTCGGAGGGGCTTGCAATCTAGGTTAGGTAGGAAACGATGCCGAGAGCAGTGACATCAGGGAAGAGGGTGGGAGGCAGCTTGCAGATGACGAGTCTATGAGGTTGCCTCTCCGTGCAAGGTACGCGTTGCATTAGTAATGTGTTTGTAGCAAATAACGCTGGGCTAGCATGGGAATGTGGGTCACCGCTGGCAGAACTGTTGAAGGAAGAGGGAGCTGCAAGTGCTGAGAAGAAAACGTATGTTACCGAGGGATGTTTGGTGGGGGGAGATATAGCTCCAGTAACTGCTCCAGCTTGTAAGTAGCAGCTTTATGTTGTGTGAGCGGGTGCCTGCTGCCTGAGGGATGCCTTTGGACTGGGCGCTGGGTTGGAATGGTCTTTGAAGAGGGAGGTGTGGGGTGCAGAGTTTCTGTTCCTGGTGTGTAACAGTCACACCATGTCAGGAAACTCCTTGACTAGCTTGCTGATGCTCTCTGTGGCCCTGGCCATGCCTTGGGCATCCCTGCTGCCGCAGCAGGCCCAGGGAGGGATGCAGCCGGGCATGTATAACCAAGGATTCCAGCGGATTTTCATGACCTATTTCTGATTCTGTTGTTCAGTGTGCGTGCACTCAGGGAATCTTTGTGCTTTAGGGGGAGTAGGGTTTGTTAGTGATAAGGAAAAGCTTGAGAGATTTAAACCAGAAACTAACCTGGCTTTAAAGGTGGGCTTGGGTTGGAGAAGGTGGCTCTGAGCCTGAATAAAGTGATACGGGATAGGGATTTACTCATCCTAAAAATGTGCATGGTGCTTCTAGTGCAGAAAGAGATTCTTGCCTCAGAGCAAGTACATTTAATGAAATAGCTTTGTTAGAAAACACTGCCCTTGGTCAGCAGGGACTTGTTGAGTAGCTTCACTTCCAGCAAAGCCGCAGTGGAGCAGAATGGGGCTGGTGGAGGGAAGCATTAATGAGCTGCCAGGCTGTGGCCCTGGAAGAGCTGCACAGCCTTTGCTCAGCAGCGATGCTCCTGCCTAGCTGCAGGTTGTGGAGACCTTGCTAAAGCAGCCTTGTGCAAGCCCCTCAGAGCAAGCTGGGAACTTGTCCCGCATCCTGTTCTGCCAGCAAACACCTCCAAGCCAGATGGGTGTGTTTCTGTGGCTTGCCCATGTGCTCCTCAAGATGCCCAAGCTGCGACATGTCCACCTGTGCCTGAGCTGTTATTTTCCCCCTGAGCCTGGGATCAGAATGTTGTCAGTGGCAGCAAGCTGGCCCTGGGGCTGAAACCAAGCTTGTGGAGGTTCAGATTCGGAGGGAACAGGCTGCATCACCTGGTGGAGCCATATGTACGGAGTGGGAGCGAGGTGTTCAACTGCCTGGGTTTGGTTGGGTTGCTCTGGCGAGAGGTTCCTGGGCAGGGGGTGGGAGTCCCCACTCCTCTACCTGTTGCTGCCATTTGCACCTTGGGGCTTGTTCCACACATGCTGTTGTGCCCCTGGCCATCCCCTGTGCCGACCTCCTCCCTGGCACTGAGCCTTGAGCGAGCGCTGCCTGCTCCGAGGCAGCAGGGCTGACGTCCCGCTGCTGTGACCGTCATACCTGGCCGGTCCGTCTAGCAGCCTGGGGGACAGACGCAGCCCCCAGGCAGGCATTGGATGACCTTCAGTAGACCTCGGTGAGCCGGGGAGAGCCAGACTGTCAGGGAAATAAGGGCTATGCCCGGTGAGAGGCGGTGGGGATTGATTTGTCTGGGTCCTGCCTGCATGTTGTCCTTACTGGTGGGTGCCTGCTGGGACAAGCTCTCTTACCTGCTGCAGGGCACAGGACTGGACAAGGTCAGGGGCTCAGAGCAGCCTGATGTTGTAAGCTCATGCGCTGAATGGTTTGTGTGTCTAAATTCCTGTTTTCTCCCTGTCCATTCAGAAACTCTGGAACTGCAGCCTGGTTACTGGCTCCTTGTCAATCCGCAGGTCCCAGAACCGCCGGCAGTGCCCAGCTCAGTGGCTCCCTGGAGCGTGCAGTTTCCCTCTAGCAGTAAAACTAGGGCTGAGCCAGGGAGAAAAATTGTGTCTTGGAATATTTTTGTTATCTGCTGCTAAGCAAAACAAGGAACTCCTCCACGCAGGTTGCTCTTCTCAGGCTCTTCTCTTGCTCAGCCCATGCCAGGAGGAGCAGGCTCAGGACTTTGCCTCTCTGTGAAGTGAGAGGTGATGGTGATGATGGGTGGTGGCAACAACCTGGGTTGCTGAGCAGCAGGGATGCTCCATGGTGGGAATCCCAGCTTCTGGCACTGGCTGCGTGTCCTTGGGCAAGTCACTTACTTGCTGCAACGAGTGTGTGCGCTGGCTTACCTCCTGCAGGGCCCTGAAAGGTTTCATTCATGTCCCTAATTACTCGCAGAGTCCTGAATGAAAGGGGTGGTGGATGTGCCAAGCGCGTGACGTGATGTGTCCCAGTACAACATAGTCCTTGTGAGCACTCTCCTTGTCCCTCCTGGGGACCCAGGGGTGGCTCAGGGAGCCTTGATGGTGGTGCTTCAGCTTGAGTTCCCTCTGCCATGGGAGAAGGTGCCTGTTTTGTGGCACTTAGGCCTGTCCTGTGAGCTATTGAGGGCTCCTGGCTGGGGTGGGAGGGGAGCTGTCCTGGTTCCTATAATTTCCTGGTTATTTTGGTATGTGGGTGGAAGGGGGAGGAGGGCAGCTGGGGAGAGAAGAGCAAGGTCAGTGAAGAACAAACGTGCCTCTGTGCGCTTGTGATCGCGCCGCCAGCTAATCGGCTTCGGCGTTCCAACTTTCCTCGCAGAACTCATCAAGCACGGCCGCGAGAGGATAGGACAAACCATCAAGGCCTCCGGCTCCCGGCTCTGCTCGTAGTGAGTACGAAAGCCCCCCCCGTGGGATGGGAGCCCTTTAAAAGCTCAGCCCGATGACCCCCGGGCTGCCTCGGCGGTGAATGGAGCTGGCTGGCACCGGGCAGATGTGGGCAGTCCCCGGGGACAGCCGCCACGGGTGAGATCGGGGGGGGCTGGTGGGATCTTCGGGGCTTCCCTTTTTGGAAGGGGCAGGGCAGAGGGGGGCTGGAGGACAGGAGCCTCTGAGCCTCCCTGCAGTGTATGAGGGCTTGGTGGGGCTGAGGGGGAATGGACAAAGCTCTCCGGGGCAGCGGAGATGGGTACAGAGCTTTTTTTTTTCTGTCATCTCTAATTCTGGCTTTTGCAAGGAGTATGGGTGAACCCTTAAAACTAAGGGGAGAAATCCCTGGGGTGGCAGGACCTGTCCCTCCCCTGTGATGCTTGAGCAGGGGGGGTCTAAACCAACAAGTATTGTTCAAGTCCAACTTTGTCCAGCCCCAGCAGTGGCTGCACTGGGTAGATGAGAGCCCTCTGCTCCCCAAGCCTGCCCCTCTTCCCCACAACGTCAACAGCCCCAAACTGCCCTGGTCTGCGCTGGCTGGGGGGAACAGCCCCTAGATGCGGGTGGCACAAGGTGGTCGGACCCACTGGGGGTCTCCTGGCCACCCTGCAGGGACACTCGCTGGGTTGCAGGGGGGTCCCGCAGCATCCCAGTGCGGTGGGGAGGGGGCTGTGTCTGCCTTGAAGGGGTAGGAGGGCTGCCACCTCACCTGGCCCTGCGGCTGTGTTGTTGCTAGAGCTGTGCTGGTCTTCATGTGTCAGTGCCC